CCCTCCCGCGCTAGCCTAAGGGCCACCTTAGCAAAGCGCATCCCAGGCTGCATAGCCGCACTACCCTACCCAACCATACCACACATAAACATGACACTACCCCCGGGGTTTACACAGACGAGCCGGCGAAGCAAGAAGAGCGCCAGAAGAAAGGGCCCTAGCCGGCGGGGCCCAGCCAGGACAAAAGGAGGTCCCACAAAGCGCCTACACCGGCCGCATTTGCGGTCGGGGTAGACGACGGATGGGGCCCACCTACGAAGGCTGTCCAGGCCTACACGAGATGAGGCAGGATAAAGAGGGATAATCCCCCTCGATCCCAAATCATTGAGGCCAATTTCTAGCCATGGAATAATGGCGCGCGCATCGATAACTACCTCCTAACATCGATGTTTAAAAAGTATCGATGTTTTTCGCCCATCCCTACATAAAATTGCACTTAGTTAACTTAGGTTGCACTAGTTTTACCAGTGGAAAACCCTAATAGACATAGATATATTACAGCTTAATACAGCTCCACAACTGTCTTGGCGGGAACGGTTAGCGTCGATTCCGCCGCGCAGCGTTTATGGCCCGCCTTCCAGTGGAAAATACGGTTTTGGCGTTCGTTCAGGCGAGTAACGGCAACGAGTAGTAAGAATTGCAATCATAGGCGTGGGTATAATTTCGTTGATTTATTTTTATTTTATATAATAATGAAAATGAAGATACCTTATTTGGACAATTGCAAATGCCAAAATATTTCAAGATAATTTTGAACTATTATCCACAAAAAATAACATTTGAAGCACATTTCTTGAATTAATTAAAAGACCACCTTTTAGTCATCCGTGTCATTCTTTTCCGAAAGAATTTGTACTTAGGTTATATATAAGGGTTAGAATTTATTATACGTTATAAACTATAAAAGAAAATTTTAGGAATATTCAAAAAATAAGCTTATAATAATAGAGAAATCTGTAATGATTATATTTTTAATACTATATATTACGTTATTATATTTTTTTGTACATTATATTGTAGGTATGTTTTATAATATGTGTAAGTATTAGTCCAGGCTGTATCGTTGCTCCCGCTAGGAACATGATTCTCATTCGAATTTTTTTTCATAATCTTACTAAAAAAATAACCCTTCAATCATATCCGTTTGTTGCCAGACGTTACTAATGGTCAAAAATTGTTTAAACATTTTTTTTTAATCAAATTCGTAATTTTCGTTTTTTTCGCTCGAAATACATTTTTATAGGCTTTTTGGGGTATCCTGAACAAAAATGTTCATAACTTTTCTCTAAAATCTACCGTTTTCGAGATATTAACGATTTTTTGTTCGAAAAAAACGCGATTTTAACCATTTTCTTCTTTAAGGATTACGGCAGTAAACAGGAACTTACAACAAGGAATTTTAATTACTCTTCAAGTTTTCTTTTAATAATCCGTATTAACTCCAAGTACAAAACTTATTACCTATCTAAAATACCTATTTTCTACTGTTAATGTCATTCCACGTAATATTCTAATTCAAATTTCATATTATTAATATTACCTACTACGGTACTGTCAGGTAGAAACTAAATATTTTATTACAATAATAAAAATTATTTTAATCCAGCCCCGACAATTCCGCTTAATCTGTGAGAGTTAGCACGATTCCGTCTCGCTTGGTTCTCGACCGCCACATCAAAGGCGCCGACACGGACTCTTCCAGCTGTATTAAGCTGTGGATATACTTTATTTGATCTATGCTAGCACAAAACAGGAAACAGAGTGCCTGGTTATGTTTATGTTTATTTGTTTATTAATTATTTATTAAATTTTGTGTTGTGGATAACAATAGACAATATAATAATTTCAGATTAGTGGGAAAATAAGACTAATTGAAGGATTATTTAACGTGACTGAATATATTTACCTAAAAAAAATTAGTGGTTTTACCGTTTTGTGTGTATATAAAAGATCTTTCGCTAGATACTCGTACATATTTTTTTTTTTTTAATTTTCAAAATGACAACATCTGCTTTAGCTTCTCTAACAGCTACTTATACAGATTCGGAAGGAGAGGAAGAAGGAAATGAGGAACAAAATCATGACGAGGGTATCGTGACATTGAAGTCACCAAGTGGTTCAACTTCTGATAATAAATCTAATGCTTCATCTCGTCCAACTAGTCCTGCACCAATTAGAGTTACAACAAAAGTTGCTAAACTTGTTTCTTACCATGATGATACTATAGCGTCCGATGAAGAAGGTGAGCCAGAGGATGAAGTACCCCATCGAGTTATTATGATTTCAGATGAAAAAAAAGGTGAAGAACAGGTGACTGATGATGAAGATGGTATTATACCACCAGAACCACCTGGCCACTGTTCGATTGAGTTGCAAGAGAAAATTACAAAGTTGTATGAAAAAATGCAAAATCAGCAATTGGATATGAATGCAGTAATACAGAAAAGGAAGGATTTTCGAAATCCAAGTATCTATGAAAAATTAATTCAATTCTGTGGATTAAATGAATTAGGTAAAAATCTTTTTCTAGAAGAACATACCAGCTTTCATATGCTTAGGTATAGGTTCTGAAAATTATAATATATTTTTAAATGTGTATACCAAATATATGGTGGTTAATCATATTAAAGGACCCCACACAATCCATATGACAAATTTTTATTTTTTTTTAACTTGCTATGCGAGTTCTGATCGCAGTCTGAAAGTCCCTTGTTTTGGACCTACGGCCCCTAAAAGATGAAATTTTGTCCTCTTACACTGCATAGTAAGAATACAGCAATGTTTTCAACTTCCGGTTCTGACCGGAAGTAGCCTATTCGGACCAGAAGTCAGTTTTTTCAAATAAAATAATATATTTTTTTATTACGGATTTCGATTCAACACCGAAAAATGTGAAACTTGTTTAAATTTTTTTTACTAAAATGTGTTTTTTGAGCCCTAAGTGACTTTTGACGTTAACTTCGTGCCGATTCCCGTGAAAGGCTACTTCCAGTCAGAACCGGAACTTGAAAACATCTCTAATCGATTGGACAAGGTCCATTTACTATTATTGTAATGTAATTTTACAAAAAATAATCATTGCTGTATTCTTACTATGCAGCATAAAGGGAAAAATTCAACTTTCAGGGGCTGTGGGTCCAAAACAAAAGACTCAGATTTTGTGCCCATTGAGACTCGATCCACGTAATCAGAACTATCACATAGCAAAGTTTCAATAAAATTTGCCGAAAGCCACTTTCCATAAGGATTGTTCAGGATACTTTATTAAAATAGCATCAGCTTTGGTGGTATAGTAAAATATGCTAAAACTTTAAGAGTATTTAAACAGCATTGTGCTGGTAACCCATAAGCAGTAAACCTGCTTCCAATGTGGTGTAACCTAAAGTTTGTTATTACCTATTACGTTATACATTAAGCTGGAACTCCCTCAAGGAGAAAACGGATCATTCCTACTATCATAATTTTGTTGAACTAATTTGTCATAGGGTGCATTTATGAATTCACCTGCTTTAAGTCAGTTAACTGAAGCCAGATGTTTGTCATATTATAAAGTAGTATTCTTCAAAGGATAATTGAAACACGTTGAAGCACATCTGTAAAATTTAGCTGGAATATACAGGGTGTCTGCAAATTTCACCGACAACGTTTAACTGCATATTCACGACAATATAATTACAATCTATGAAAATAATAGTCCACAGTACAGGCTCCCCCCTGGAAAGTTGTTTACCACATACTTTATAACTCCTGAGGAGCATCCTTTTGACGAGTCTACTACATTTTTCCTCTGCGACTTTTCTCTATTCCTCCGCTTTTCCACTCGGAAAAGTCCAAAAACATGGCAATTTCCCGGGGTCTTGAAAAGTCAAGACCACATCTTTTATTTTTAAGTAACTGGAAATTTTGTTGCAAATGCCGATTTAAATTTGTCCGACAGAAATTCTTCCGACATTGACGTGTCTACCGGTCGAAACATGCCAAAATAACAGGGTATTGAAAATCAATTACCACATAGGTAATTTTTAGTAAAATTAATTGTAAATAATTAATTCAGTCAAAAAGTATTGTTGTCCGACAAATTTCAAGCCGCGTTTTTTCAGTCCGACAGCTGGAAATCGGAATTTTCACGGGGTATGAAAAATCGATTACCACATATCTGATTTTCATTTTTTCCCTCCTTATCTAGTCTCCA